GGAAATAACATAGTTGTACAGCGTAAGCTATGCATGAAGACTCTTGCTTTAACAAAGACTACTCGGCCAACTTGAACATTTGCAGGTACGAGTCCGACAAGCATGGAAATCATCATGTTAGCTAAAATTTACTGTAGTGTTTGTTAGGGATTTAAAATTACATGGTGTGCATGACTGCAGTTGTAAGTTTTCTAGATAGCCACTAGATGTCTGCATAGCCTTTTATATGAATATACGGCCTGTAATATCTAGATGGTGAAACAAGACATGATTTTTAAATTTCAAATAGTTTTTACTATAGTTTTTATTAGTTTTAATTTTAAAGTCATAGTTAAATAAAAGTACTTAGATATTGCTTTTTTGACTTATTTACATATGTAACTTGAAGTAATCAGATTACATTACTTTTATATTGTGGTACTTGGATTACGTTACTGAATACTTTTTTAATGAAGTAATTTGTAACTGTAACGGAATACATTTTAAAAGTAACCCTCCCAACCCTGCTGGTTACCGATGGATTTCACAACTACTAAATGTACATCACTCCACCATTATGGCTATGCACATAAATTATTGAAAAGATCTTTGAAATTCATTGATCAAAAGTGTCTACCTCTTTCCCTCTTAAATCTATAGGGCCTGAAACGGAGTGAGCAGAGCACCATGCTGGAGCTTTTCAGGCAGAGGTTGCCTAATCCGCCATCAGGACCAGACGGTGGCCCATCATTGTCCTTCAGTGCCCCCACCCCTGAACAAGAATCTTCCCGTATCCGCAAACTGGAAAAGCTCATCAAAAAGAGGATTCAGTAAATCAGAAGGAACTTTATTCCCATCAATCTAATAATGTAAGTGCTCTGTCTGGATATTCAGCATGGCCTGGCAACATCTCTCCACTCCAGTTTTATCATACTGGGAATGGTGTATAAATAGTACTGCTATGTCTTATGTATTTATGTTCTCTTACAGATCATGGTTTAACTTTGAGGCTTTCATGACTTGCATTACTATGAGCTTTATGATTCAAG